AAAAAAAAAAAAGAAAAAAAAAAAAAAGAAAAAAAAAGAGAGATGCGAGGGTTGCAGATTCGCCAGGGGCAAGGAGGTTATTAAAATAGAATTATTAAGTGGTTCTTGCAGGGCCAAGGAGGTTATACACGTACCTTGGTCAGAATAAACTAACGGGTTTAACGTTTTCTCTGGTGCTGCGGAGCCGGCATTAAATAAATGTTAGTGTAGGTGGCCTTGTCAACGACAAAGTTGTACTCGTTGCACAGTATGTTGCACATGGCAAAAGAGACACAATGTCTGGCAGGGCAATCGGGCCATTTTAACTGCCGGATTATTTCTTTTTATTTTTATTGTCTATCTGTTTTGCTTCTTCCCAGCTCTGTAATGGTCGTTATTGTGTCGATGTGCTTTACTTCGACTCAACATCAATCTTTGTGAACTGGGGATGGTGTATCGATCCACCAACGAGAGAGAGAGAGAGAGAGAGAGAGAGAGAGAGAGAGAGAGAGAGAGAGAGAGAGGTGTCAAATATATAAAAAATATCATTCGAAGAGATGCTGCAGGGTACAGAACGTAGAGGTAATAATCTCCCTGACTTGTCACAACCACTGCCATTTTCTTGCACGCGTTAGCAATGTGTGCCACCACCACAGGACAAACATTACTCATTACTGTAGACCAGTCCGGCGTGAACGCTGTCGCCAGTCGAGACGAACCAGTCATCATTGCCTTTCTCACCCATGACCGGGATACATAGGCCACGAACAAACACTTTCCACCTTTCCCTATCCTGGGCTAGTCGCTTGATGCCATTCCATGTCTTCACACTTTTCTGTACATTCATTTCTGTGATTCTTCTTCAGGTTTCACGTGGTTTTCTCCTTGATCTTTTACCCTGTGGGTTCCAATCTAACACTTTCCTTGATATGCAGCTGCTTGACTTCCTGAGAGTGAGACGGACCAGTGCCTACTTGTTACCCCCCCCACCTCCCCCGGTCAATTGCAGGGGGAGACTCATCTTGCATACACAATGTATCTCCTGGTTAGTTTTAGTATGCGTCTTACGGCACTTGAAATACAATTAGGTCAAAGAATTCGATAGAGAAACAAACACAAAAAGGAGGAAAGATTTATTAGTTTATATGGACAATATATTTTTTAGAGGAAAGACGAAGAAAACCACACCAGAACACCCACCAACCACCCACCAAAATGTGTCTCCTTTCACACGCGAAGAACCTATGTCTCCCAGCATTGAGATGCACACGACTATTTCAGAACACTAATACTAATACATGTAAGTGATGGATGAATTTATGGGGCACAGCTGGCTGGGGATAGAGAGCAAAGCACCGTATCAAAGACAGGTGAAGAGCCCTTCTTAGCAGACAAAACCACAGCAATACCAGAGAGAAAAAATGACCAGTGGGAGTTGGCGGGTGCTCTGGTGTGTTTTTCAAGCTAACGTACATGTACTTATCTCTCCTTTTTATTTGTGCGTAACACCTCTAATTTTTGGCACTTATATGACTTAATTGTGTTGCAAGTGCCATAAAAAATGATGAGTGTTCAACTAGTTACAGAACACTATGCAATGTGAGTGATCACAGCCTTTGAGAGGATGTCTTTAGTTTTTGTGGTTGTTAAAGTTTTACTTTTTGTCCCATTTATGACAATGCACCACATATCATTATACAGTACACGATGTACAGCCAAAACTTGTACCGTGCCCCCCCCCCCAATGCTGTACCACCAACCCCGCTCTGCCAATGTACGAAAAGGATCGCTTACATAAACATAGTATTTTCGCCTTCATAAAACCATCCGCCAACTTCATGAGTTGTATGACCCTTTTTTAACTTAACTAATGCAAATTTACCCCCACCATAAAGCAGCGAATTGATCGTTAGAAGTACACACTGCACATAACGCCCACTGGTCGTCTGTGATTGCGAGAAAGACATAGAAATAGAGGGAGATCGAGAAGTCTCTCAGCTCTGAATACATTTGCTTATGTACATGTACATATCACCAAGAAAAAGACACTTTTCAAACACAGATCGCACAGCAGAATTATGTTCCTTGAAGTTGGGCAGTCAGGGCTATACAACAGATGAACCCGTTGAATTGTCAGCCCCGCTGTACCACCAACTTCACGCCCGTTCCAAGGGTGGCAGTAAAAGGAAGTTTGACTGTAGTTCCCATTCAAGAAAACAGGCTAAGAGAAATTAATTAGAGCAGGAAGCATGATTCTTTTTTTCAACCTTACTCGGATTCGAACCTCAAACTTGTAACAGACATAGATCTACATTTGAATCAAGTTTGTGGATTTCCCCATGAGGATAATTATTATAGTTCGTTTTTTCTTCCATACTTTCTCTTATTTTGTGAAAAGACAAGACTCCAATGCCACACATCTGGGACATGAGTAGAAATTCAATTTGTACATTGTATAAAAAGGGGCTTGTTGTTATCTGCCTCAGCCAAGCAAACCTGTGCCATGATCCTCTGAGGTGTTTGTTTTTAACCTCTGAAGATCTAGTAAACATTATTTTTCGAGCATGCTCACCCAGTATAAACCTCGCTTTTCCTTTATAAGCCGATTAGCTTTTTGTATTGTTTTTTGGTAAGAGTTTTACGGCGCTCACAACTGCATAAGGTCATATGAGCGTGTGAAAAAAGGTTGGTTCTGTTCGCAACAGTACACTGCACAGCCTGACTCTGGTCAACACTTCCATTAAAATGCAAAAAATTTGTGGAAATAAATTAATTTAAAACATCTTTTTAAATAACATTAAAAATTTTGAACAATTCTATTCACAACTTCCCATAAAGGCCAATGGGCTTGATAAAATCCAGAATTCTGTTGAAATCAATGAAGGAAAGCAGATCTTTCAATTTTTTTCATCTGAAGTATTTCTTTCGGGTCTCTCTGAAGTCTAGACATTCTGTTAAAATGTGTCTAATGGTAAAACCTGTGGTGCATCCGACACAGAACGGCTTCTCATCTCCCTGAAAGAGGTATTTATATATATAATATGTATTAGGGACGTGTGTCTGATGCGTAATCAAGTCAAAATTATTTCCTCTCTTCAGGAGAGGCGCGAAGGATTTCGCGGTCCCAGTTTGGACTTAATGTTGTGAAATTTGTTGTTTACTTGCTTTTTCCAGTGCGTCTCCCACAGACTGGAGGTGTAGTATTTGACTTTATTTGCCGATTTGCTGCATTTCTTAATCTTTACAATTTTCACAAGTATCTAAGTATTCAGGCAGTTTAAGTCCCTCCAAGAAATGAGAAGAGGGAAACAATATTTTCTACTTTATTATATATATATAAATAGTTTTGGCTGTGTTACATGTCTCTTATCAATAGTTTTATCATAAAAAAGAGGAATCTACATTTCAATGTCCTTCTGCACTAGAACTGATTCGAGTTGGTACTACCAGTGAGTTACAAAGACATACAATATCGTGGCATTGTGCAGAGGAAATGAACCCAGGGATTTTGGTTTACAAAGCGAATGTGTTCACTGCTATACAACACTTGTCCCCTTATATGACAATAATTTAACAGGCATGAAAATCTTCACCAAAACGAAATCAAATTCTTCATACAATCATTTTTTATTGACTTCATACTAATATTACATTTGAAAGGTGGCAGTGCATGTAAAAACAAAATTTTGAGATCTTTTTAAAGTATAAAATACTTTTTCCCATTTCACAAATCTCTTGTTTACCTGTATAATGCATTAAAATACAACATTTTCTCCCAGCTATTCTATGACTATACTAAGGATGAAGACAACTGAGATTGCACTGATTCTCAAATCTGTACAGTAACTTTAAAGTAAAGAATCTACCCCAAATCTACAACAACACTCATACCAGCAGTCAACAACTCCTGAGATTTAGCAGGAGAACGCAAAGAAGAAGCACAACGCTCACACCAATAAGTTTGAAAAATACCCTGAAATATTGCAATTACCAGCATATTAATTGTCCATAGAACTTTCAAACAAGCCACAGAGGTCTGCATATTTCAGCAAAGAGTCTCAAACAATTTCAAATGACATGAAAGCATAATCAACATTACTGGCTATTTATCACTGTGATGATTATAATGAACTTTGATGCGAGTTGAATACATTAAAGAAACAATATTATAGTTCAGCAGAAAGTCTCAAACAATTTTAAATGACATGAAAGCATAATCAACATTACTGGCTATTTATCACTGAGATGATTATAATGAACTTTGGTATGCGAGTTGAATACATTAAAAGAAACAATATTATATGTTGCATTGTAAAAGGAAAATGACAGACTATCTGGAAGCTAGCTTGCAGACTCTCTCACACAATGATTCCAGGAAACAATACTCAATAAAATTTATAAATGGACAAAAAAGAAGAAAATTGTCTATTGGGGCTACATATAGCCTATATAACCAAACAAGGAGAGGGGAGGGGCAGGGGTGTTTGATTATCAAAGCTATTTCTAGACTCATTAAGTTTAGCCAGGAGGTTGGCTTATTGAGGCTACATATAGCATATTTAAGTGGAGGTGTTTATAGGGGCTACTTGTGGCATATTTAAAGTCAGTAAAAAAGGAATGGATGTTTAAACTCAACCAACCAGCGTTATGAAATCTTTAAAAATGAGAGGGAAAAATAAACATGAGAATTACAAAACCGTGACCTTTCTTCCAATACTTTAACTATAACATGGATTATTATTATGCTTATTCACAGGACAAATATCACGTTTCTATGAAATTTCACAACATTTTCAATGAACAGAAAAGAAAATTTGGTACCATTTATATCCAATAAAAAGGACTGCACCTATAGTGAGACAATAATACTTTGACAAGGAATAACAACTGGAGAATGTAATGACAAATCTCAAATGTCTTTTGAACAATTACTAAGCTTTGGACTCGCATCAACTTGAGATACGTTTACTCTTTTACCCTTACATAAAACATGCAGAAATATATAGACTCGTATCAAACATTTTAAAGAATTGTTAATGCCCCCTAACTTGAAACATGTAGAAACATATAGACTAGTATGAAACATTCTAAAGAATTGTTAATGCCCCCTAACTTGAAAAATGCAGAAACATATAGACTTGTATCAAACATTTAGACTAGTATGAAACATTCTAAAGAATTGTTAATGCCCCCTAACTTGAAATATGCAGAAACATATAGACTTGTATCAAACATTTTAAAGAATTGTTAATGCCCCTTATTTTCCCATCATGATAAAATAAACACAACCTTTAAAAGCTGTCAGCATTTGACATTGCAGGAAATTGAAAACCTTTGGAGTTGTATCACGGATCTCTATTGTGTGGAATGTGACGGACATAACACCGACAACTTATGTCACCAAGATGAACAATCACTTCCTACGCCAAACAGTCGCATGTGCTACAGTCCACTGGTTCTTGCGAGCCGTCTCCCTGATGAAGAAAGGCATGTTGACTTCTTCCACAAGGTCGAAGTATGGCCCCAGTTCTTTCTGAAGGCCTTGGAATCCTGTAACAGCTTGACCATCGGCACCAACGTACCCACCAAGCCATTCATTCTGGAGATGAACAAACAATAATGAAGTACAAAAACTATACAACCTCAATCTACTTTCTGACTAAAAGTGAAAAAAAAAAAAGCATCTCAACAACATCCAGTTAAAACACCTTGAAAATTTGAAATGTTTACTTCAGAATTAACCTCCTGTCTATCTTCTCCACACCCACACATAGAATCTACACACATGGTACTAATTTAACCCTTATACATAATACATTAAGGTACACATACAGCAGATACTTTGTGACCGTAAAAAAGGGTTTACATCAGTAGTCAACAATCTATAAACCAAACTGAGTTGAGAGAAATCATCACGGGCTTCTTCTTATCCCCTCCTTCAGCCTTGGTTCATGCAGTAAAGTATTTCTAGAGCTCATATTCTCTTCTGAAGCTTTACTGTGAGTGTTCATCTGTCACATGATGTGTACAAAAACATGGAATATACCAAAGCACACAACCTAATTTTTTCTTGGAACAAATTCAGACAACAGAAATACAAGCACTAAAAAAAAAGAGGAAGAAATAGCAGGAACAGACCACTCAGTGACAATGCTTCGTTACATTGCTAAAACAGGACAGATCATAGAAGATATCATATATATAAATGTAGAAAGGACAGTTGATACGAGTGTAAACAAGCAAAGATATTTCACAGACATAGGGGAGCTTGAGAGCAAAGGTCACCTCTTATGTCATATTTATAACAGTTACAAGTGGTGCCCCGTGAAGATAAACCACTTTACTGAAGGATAATTTATTACAAGAAAATGTATGCTTGCACAATGTGGAAACAATTTTGTACAAGCATGACAAAGTCTTTTTCTAATTAATAAAAAATAAGAATAAGAATTAATTTGACAGAATACATATATAGAGAAATTTATACATTGGAGTCCATTTAAATTGAAAATGTTTAATCTGGAAACAGCTATAAACCAAAAGCAAATAAAATCCTCAATTTTGTTGTTGTATTTGAGCAACCTCTCTTAACCAAGCACCTGGCAAAAGCGAAGAAAATATGGAGGTCCTGCAGATTTCAGTTAAGAGGACTCCACTTAACAAACATAAACGTATTACATTATGTTTTTATTCTTTTGCTTTCAATCTACAGATTTGATCTTCACCATATTTCATCATACCATTAGCAGTTGTATGTTATCACATAGGGTAGAATAGGGATGTAATTGATACAACGTTTTGAGCACTTAACACTACATGTAGGCCTATCTTGTCCTCCCTTTCCATTAATTGTTGCTTCTAAAATGTAGGACCATTTTAAAGAGAGAGGGTTTTTAATGCCCATGGTATCTGATTGGACACCAGATACAATTCCATTTTTGGTTCTCCACCACAGCATGCTTTACATGCATTGCCTTGTTGTACATAATTGATGAATTTGCTGCTGTCATTTTAAGAAGAGGCGTCTTTGTAATTCTTTGGTCGACTGGACATGGTTTTTCAGGCTTTTGACAAGGTCCCACTATAATATAAGTACCTTGGGATCTGTGACTAATTGCAGAAAGCAATGGCTTGGAAGCACACACATTCAGCGATGGTCAACCTCTGAACACAATGGTACTGACTATGAAAATCATTTAAAAAGTTATTTGCCACATTCTTCTCACTGTTTTGAAGTTCTGAAAGCATAGTAGGAGGCTTGTCAGGCAATGGATGATTCTGCATTCTTCTATTTTTAGTTTGGTAGGAATTATTTTTCAGTTTTGTTCAGGTGGCAGCTGAAGCCTACTCTTATCAATTTTGGACGACCAAGGGATCTTTAATGTGCGCAACTTGCACACAAGACCTCTGAGATTTTTCATCCTTATCCGAGAAGGCTAGGTGTTAGATCTTACCTACCCTAAGATCATGGGTGTGGCTGAAAGACAGCAGTAAGAAGGAGATAAGGAGTAGCAGTAGAAAGGCTGCAGAAAGAATCAGGAGCCCAGAGGACAGGGCGGGTGGGGGTGGGGGCAGAAAGTGGAGACAAAAGCAGACAACAGAACATGGTTACAGAACAGGAAAGAAGGTGAAACTAATTGAAAAATTTTGGCCATCCTATGCATGGAGTAGGGAATGACTGTTGAGTCCTGCCCCTCAGGACAGACTGATGGTATCCTTGAGTTGGCATCAAATGAAGAATAAAACTAATATCAAGATTCATCTTGCACATTGTTCTCAACAATTTGGTCATCATTATCATCATCTATTTTCAAACAATTTTCGTGTTTCCAGTTTCTTTCTTGAAGAATAATAAGTTTCATCAAGTAAACACATTTTTCTATGCAAACTACAAATGGTCGCTTTTACTTTTAAGGACAAGCGGGCCAACCCAGATTTTGGGGGTTTCCAGAAATCTTGACCTACACCAAAAGTGGGCATTGCCCTACCTATAGGGGAAGTTTGGTTTCATTGGTGAGTATATTTGTTTGGTAGTAGAGAAAACTCTCCTTGTCTTTTAAAGAAACTGAACAATGGGCAAAAACTTTACCTTCGATCTTTTCAAAACAGCATTTTTCGGGATAGCCCCTTGTGCTTAAAAGCGACCAAATATCTGGCACCAAATCAGGACACAGGACCCCCCAAAAAAGGAATTGAATCTTAATAGCATTCCAGTTAGCAAAATTTTACCTGTTGATAGATGAGAACGGAAAACCCAGAGAGATAATATTATAATAAGAAAAAAACCAAATCCAACTGACCCCTGACCCATATCAATCCACAAAATCAATTATAATAGCCCATTTCAGACACGACTCTTCTCTGGAACCTAACTGTTGGGACACTGCCCCTCAGAGGAAAACCTACACATGGAATAAAAAGGAGGAACAAAGTCTTTAGTTTTAGTTTTAGTAAAGGTTTTACGGCGCTTGCAATTGCATAAGGTCATATGATTTATGAGCGCAGAAGATCAGAGGTGTTACTTGTACAAGAGAGTAACAAACATAAAAAAGAAAAAGGGGAAATAAGGACGATAGATGCTTGATACGAAAGAAGAAGCAAACCACACCAGAGCACCCACCAACCACACACGAACAAAGTCTCATAACATTCACCTTATTCGCAAAATCTCTTAACCAAGTATACGGGGCTGTTATCACCAGGATTCCTCCTCTGTTAGGCAACAGTGATGTCAGCCTCTTCAGGAATTCCTTAGGATGGTGGAGTCTACAGACCAGATTTGCAGCAAGTATCACACCAAACTGGCCCAGTGATGATCTTAAATCACAAGCATCGCCTTGTTCAAAACTGACTCGGCTTCGGTCCTGTTTCGGAAAAAAGAAAGAAAGAAAGAAATTTAACGGTCGTTTTAACAAAACGTCAAAACACAGACCTAATGACCTTGTTCATTAAAATTGTTTCTTTGTACTTTATAAACTTCTCTTCTTTTAATGACTTCCCATTGACTGCTTTTCATGTCCATCAGTTGGCCTACCTACCTGAGCATGAGCAACTTGTAGGAACCAAAGGAGTGCAATGAATAACAAAGTAATCTTATAATGAATATATGATTAAAATGTTATGAAGAGAAACCACACTTTAAGCAAATAATCATACCTTACTTCATTCAACTTCTTATTTCAAGCCACACTTGGAAGGTACAGTGGAGTCCACTTATAACGAGTCCTGAAACAACGAGAAGTCTGTTATAAAGACACTATTCTAAAACCCCGTTTTTTCTCCTTCTTTATCTTTGTAAATAAAATACTGCTATTGCGCAATCAGAGAGTCGTGCGAGTCATTTTAACGGAATATTGCTGCTGCTGTGCACAGTGCACAGACCAATTAAACATTATAAAACCTCGCCAGTTGAGAAAGTTGTTGGTGATTCAGCGAAACAAAGAATGGGAGAGCCCATGTGAACCAACGATGGAGGCTGGAGCGAATGAGTGGGGAGGGTGTGGCATGCGCAGACAAGCAGAACGCATCGCGTGATAGGCCAGCCCAGTCTAGAATATCTAGGCATACCGTGCCTCTCACTTCTCTGGTGCAGGATGGAGAGGTCACAATCGTGACAATGCTGTGATAGATGGAGTGACTGTGTGACGTGCGCAAGCAGACGCAACACACCACAGGGTGTGGTGGGGTGGGGGACAACACAGCGGGCGAGTTAGCCTAGAGCCAGAGCCCCTTCTTTCTGATCGCCAACGCCGAGCTGTCAACATTGCTAGTGCTAGAGAAAGAAACCTGATTCAATATTTGATCAAGTAAGACCTAGATATCATGTTGAACAAATCATCATCAGGGGAAATACAAAAAGGAATAAACAGAACGCCAGACTCATAGCTCATAGATTAAGCCAACTTTACCATTTCCCTTGAATTTATAACTGGATCCCTTGTAACGAGAATCCTGCTATAAGGGACATTTCGCACCGGTCCCCTACCTCTCGTTATAACAGGATTCCACTGTAATAAACTATAATGACTGTTGTCTTTTAAGTTTCAATGATGAAACAAAAGATATGTGAAGACAAGGCATGCGGTTATACTAGATTTTTGTATTTTATTTAGGAAAGTCTTCTTTCTCATCCTTCCACAGAGAAAAGTAAGGGTCCAAAGATTGTTTTGGTTGGCCATGTGTCTATGCAGAGCTGGTTGTAACGGAGTACAAGTACTCCAGTAGTTGTACTTATGTTACAATTTTTTGTACTTTTACTGTATTCCGGTACATTTTGAGAACCAGTACTTTTACTGTACTCTGATTGATTGATTGATTGAGTAGATGTTTTACTGCACTATCGACACAATTTTGTCTGTACTCCGATACTTTTTATAAAAGTACTTTTGAGCACTTTTGAAGCTTAATGAAAGAGTAAGTGCCGGCATTTCTGATCATAATTTACGGAACAAACACCCGGGCGGGCACAGCCGATCAACCAAGAGTTAAAAGTTGAGATCAAAGAACTGCCCGTCGCGTCAAAGATCAACCACTCTCGTGAATGTGATCACAAGCGTTGTAAAACACAATGAAACGGTACAATGATCCCCAGACGCGATCACACCGAGATGTGAACTGACCGATGCATTTCTTTTCCCCAAACATCGCACTCGCATCTGAGCTCGCCACCTGAACTGACATCACTCGCTGGGTGGGTAGGGCCTATAAGTTCACTCCAGGCAGGATCACATTCAACTGTGAACTCTTCCCTGACCATTGAAGTTGAAGGCAGTTTTTCTCTATTCCCGAATTTGCAAGACAACCTGAATTTTAATTGGTGCGGTCACAGCGTAATGGTACGTAACGACAAAGGTGGGGGGACTCAATCAGAGATGAAAGGCTACAATTTTTGGACAGGTAAAGGGGAGGGGCAACTGGATAAACGCAGATAAAGATCTCGAGACGATATGCTAATGAGTGTACGGTACAATATTATGGCATGCCTCATGCCACCATGCTACTGTGATTGGTCATCAAGTTTGACCACTCTTTGCTCGCCATATGTCATAAACCCACCCAGAGGCACGTCAGTTCATGGGTCACTGTAGATTCTTCCTTGGCTTTGTCGGTTAAGATCCCGTATTTCCCTTGCTCCCGAGCACTGAGATCGTAGGCGGAGACTACTAGAGAATTTTTGGTTACACTACACTTACTAGACTAGGAAATTACATGTAGGCCTATTTTGGTTTGCTGTGGGCGCCGTGGACTACACAGTGTGACCAAAATCTGTCTTACCACTATTATAATTTCAATTGAAACTGAAACTGAGTTCTCAATGTATATCAATGTAACAATTTTTTAGGCTACCTTAATTTCTTTTTAACTTTTTTGTGTGGTTTGTGCTTAAGGCTACCTTGATTCCTTGAGGATTTGTTTATGAAGAATTCAATTCACGTTTCCATTTTTTTTGCAGGCCATTTTCATCAATTTTATATTTTCTTAAGAGCAACTTTGTCTCTACATTTTCCAATTTGGATACTTTTCCTACTTTCCGACCTCTAAGACTAACTTACATTTGATCATATTGTCTTGCTCAAACAAGTTCTATTCATAATATCACTTACTCACTAGTTGTGTCTGTTTGTTTGTGGTTTGTTTTTTTTCAATTTCACGGACCTTTTCCACCTACGTTCAGTGTTTCCATTATTTTGTATACAGTTTACGTTATTAGTAATAAATGGCCTAATTTGTCAAATATACTTGATATGTTATTCTATATGATGTTTTGCATTAGCCCTGAAGTGTTTTAGCATATTAGCAGAAAGTACTCAAAATGTACTCTTAAGTACTTTTAAAAAAAAAGTACTTGTACTCAAGTACATTTTACAGGAAAGTACTTTTACTGTACTTGAGTACATATTTTAGATTGTACTTAAATTTGTACTTAAGTACCTTTTTAAAAGTACTTTAACAGCTCTGTGTCTATGTGACACACTGAGATCTGTGTTAAAACTTTTTCTATTTCTCCGGAGTACCAATCTGTTATGATTGATTCCATCAAAGTTAAAAAACTTGACATAAAAATGTCAATCCCGTCATGGATCTTGAAGAGGAGGGAGGAGCAGTTCAGGCACTGTACTGCCTTTGATGATACCTATTCTCCAACCCTATAACCAGGTAAGTAAGTGGGTTTTTTTTGCTATTATCAAAGAAAGAAACTTACAACATCCTTTTCTACTTTGGCAACAGCTTGGGTGAACACATCCCCTTCTTGAACAAGTTGGTAGCTCATTTCTCCATTTTGCTTCAATGTGTTTGCAGCATCTATAAACGACTGACTATAGTCAATGCCGATCACTTCTTTCACTCCTCTTGACAGGTCAAAAGACGAGCGCCCAACAGCACATCCGATGTCCAGTGCCCTGTCCGGAAGACCTTCCTAAGATAAAATGAACAGGAAAAACCATAATTAGATCATATAATTGATTGTGAATAAACCAGTATAACTAAGTGACAAGGCAACAACTGAAAAAAAAATTCAGAATGAATTTTCAGTTCTTTTCAGAAGTACAGTTCACAGTACCACAACAAAGGAAAACAAATTCATACTATAATTTTTGTTCTAATCAAGTACACTCAAATCTGTTATAATAATGAATAGAAACCTGGGTAAGATGGAAACCTGTCACAACGGAATCTTCCTGGTCCCGTTTGATAAGTTCCTCCATAATTACCTTTGCAAAACGGAAACCTGTCTCATGCGGAAATGGAAAGAGAAATTTCTTCCCTTCGGGAGGTTTTTACTCCGTCTAAGACGAAAAATCCTTTGCCTTCTCAGCCCTCATTTGAAACAAAATGAACAAGTTTGGTTCTATCATTGGCTCTAACCTTAACGCCATGCCGCCAGGCAAGGAAAGGGAGTAGGTGTGCAATTTGGGGGTAGATATTACCCCATCCATGCGAGCTCTTAGTGGTGCGGATAGGGTGGTGTGGGTGGGAAATCTCACCAGTGCCTGTGAAAGTGAAAGAGCTTGAGTGGCACTCCAGCACACAAACTTTCATGGGTAGCCAGAGACCAGAGTTGTGAAATTAGTTTGACCAATATCTGCTGCCCTTATCATACAACTAGCCAAAAAGGAGTTCTTCGAATTGTTGTTACATGCACGGAAGGGGTGGCATATTGGACTTTGGTTGACTGTGCTCATAACACCAATGGGTGGGGCTAAGGGTGGAAGTAAAAGAGATGTTCAAACGTGTCTCTTTTTAATGGGTAAAACAATGGTCCTATGAGATGCAAGCATTGGTGGCAATAAACAAGTATTACTGACGCATGCCATTGTCAGAGGGGATAGCACTTGAAAATCGTGAAGTCTTGACCTCTCAGCCCTGCTGACTGGATAAATGATCCTTGATCCCACCGGTTGAGCCTCTGAAACTTCCCTCCACAATCTCCCCCTAAATTCCCCTGTCTGAGATGGAAAATTTTTGGAATTTTTTTCTGCAGCACTTGCCATTCCACTTTACATTTACAGAGGTTCGACAGGCAGGAACGTTCAGCCACAAAGAGATAATAAAATGGTTTGCATGAGAATGACAATGCCAGGCAACAATAAACAATACAATAAGAAAACTTCAGGTTTTTGTTTGTTTTAGTAGAGGTTTTACGGTGTTCGCAACTGCAAAAGGTCATATGAGCGCCAGAAGATTAAAGGTGTTACAAGAGAGTAATAAACATAAAAAAGAAGAAGGGTAGATAAGGACGATAGATGTTTGATAGGAAAGAAGGAGTAAACCACACTAGAGCACCCGCCAACCGCCCACCAAACTTTGGGTTTGGAGTTGGAGGCCACGAGTAATGTTCTGTAAAACTTTCAATCATTCCTTGTGCACAAACAGGGTATTCACTGCCTTGAAGTAACAATATATACAGTCGAACCAGTGTAAGACGGCCACCCACTGTCAAGGAGAAAAGTGACCCCCTAAGACAGGTGGCCGTCTTAGGTAGGATTGAACTTGGAACAAAAAGGATTGATCAAATTGAAGAAAACAAACCATTCCTTTCTAATATCCCAACCGAAGATAGCCACATTGTTGTTGTTGTTGTTGTAGTAGTAGTTGTTGTTTCTGTTGGTTTGGTTTTCGTTTGCTTTTTATTTGTTGCTGATTTCGTGCAAGGGTGACAATAAAATGAAATGTGTCAGACAATTAAGGAAGACCAAGTGCCATGGTAAAAAACAAACACATGGGTCGCTATCACTCAGAGAACGAGAGACGCTTCTGTCACAAATTCATGTTGACGCCCATTGTTAAAATTGTTACTTTGTTGCAAACTGGGTAAACAGTGATTATACACTCATCTCACTTACGATTTGTGTATGAGCTGTGGGTGGGGCTTATGGGTTATGAAGGGTCACATGCTTACCTCACTAGCAGCTGAAAATTTATTGCTACCTGTTGGTCAACAGTGGGAGGGGCCTAGGCAACATGATCGGTTGGAGGGACTATCTAACAACGACAGGTGATTGGACAATGATGACTCATCCACAACGTCAGGAGTCAAAACATCATTTATGTCAAAACGTCGGGTCGGCTGTCTAAGACAGACTGTGTTATTATTTCGGGTGGTAGGGGTTGTGTGATAAAATATGGTGTCCCAGGCCACGTTAAACGACAGGTGACTGTTTTACACAGTGAAAATATGTAGAAAAAAAGCAAGGGGGGGGAAAGGAAAGTAGCCATTTGCACAGGTGGCTGTATTATAGGTGGTCGTCATGGCAGGTTCGACTGTATATCAATTTATCACTACGGTAAAATTACAAAGCTCAGTACCTAGTTTTGAGATATTTGATGTAAAAAAAATTTGAGTTTCACAAGTCAATCTTTTTCAAAAATGCAATTCTTTAAATATCTCGATAAATATCCTGAATAATCTTGCTATTTTGATAGCTGACGAGGTATTTGGTTTCTGACCTCATGGACTTAGATTCTAGTGACTCAAAACAGCCCAAAATGTCAGACCTTTGTAATTCTTAGGTAGCGAGTTGTCTATTATAGAGTCGTTTTAGTTTTATACTCCTAGTCTTTTCATGAGAACTTTTGACTTTAACTTGGTTCAATCGCTCTGTCTCCTGATAATGATGCACAAAAGCCCATACATATGGTCATATACATAAAACCATACACATATAGAGCAGATCGATTTTAGCGTACTGTTTGCTTTTAAATATAAAACAAAGTGATACAAATGATACCAAAAGCTCATAACGGGGAAAAAAATCTCCATGTCCCTGGTCCATAGAAAAAAAGCCCCTAAAATTTGTATGCAAACTGCAAACCTTCACTGGAAAATTAAAATTAATAGGGGCCTAGCCTATATAATTGGAGGTAAAAATCAAGATCTATAAATTGTGAAATAACCGGTAGTCTGGATCTAACTTTTGCCTTTTGCTGTGTCATTGTTATAAGGCCTTTAGGCCTATTTGTTATTATAATATGGAAAGACAATAGGCCTACAATCAATATCTGACCACAAACTTTACCTGTGGTTTGTAGTGTTTAAGACAAAGCTCAGCACATCTTTTGGGGAAATCCAAAGCGTCTTTGGGCCCGAAAGGATAAGGAATTAGTTGTTCTGGAGAACCAAAATGAAACACTAAGTATTCGCCCAGAAGCTTTTCAGACTCGTAGACTTCAGAGCCGGGTACAACATTCTTGACTGCTGCTACCATCGACCTATACTTGTACATGGAATACGCTGCAACTCCTATCGACAAAGCCGCCGTGGATACAGCAACATATTTATGATCAATTCCAAAAATCTGAGCCATTTTGAAGATCAAGTAGAAGATGTTCTATTATTGCAAAGGCAAGCAAAATGCTTCAATGCGAAAGCCGGTTGGTTTGCAGCAGGACACTCGCACACTGGCACCTTATTACTTCCACGCTTGCTTAGTCAATAACTTTCTACTTTCTAGGCCTAGTTCAAAGGGCAGGTCACGACCTACAGTGGTGAACCGGTCACGTCAGTTCCAAAAAAGCGACTCGTGATGAAAGCGTAGGCTTAGGCTACTTGGGACTCGGTTGGCACAAAGGTAGGTTTCGCAACGGTCTGCTGCAGTTTCGAAAAAAATTAATGACGAGATTTGGGAACTGGGTGTGTTTCTGCAAACCTGTCAGTTTCATTTAAAAACAAAACAAAACAAACCCTGGCCTACAATAGAACCATCGAAAATACCAAGGTCATTGCCTGTGTATGATAAATCAGAATAATCAAAAACCAAGGCTGTGCAATTCGTTCATCAGTCATCAGCAGTCAGCAGATTCTTATTAGCCTATTTTTACTTTAATAGCTTAGATCTATACTATAGAGGTCTTCTTTTCTCCTTTGAAATATTTTAATGTTTCCAATCGTCAAAGTAGATCTAGATGACATATTCTCGTCTCTCTAGATTACGATTGTTTCCTTTTGGTTACTAAGGGGAACTGCGCCTTTGATCTTTCTCCACAATACGCTTCCAAGCTTACCCAGCTACGTTTCCTTGACAAGCATTGATGTTGTGTATGTAAACAATAAGGGAGGCAAGCATGTAGGAAATGGGGGCGTGGCGTCATTCAAAGAGCAAGCCGAACACGCGGTGCCAAAAAATTGATGTGCTGTGTTGGCAACTGAGGTGCAGGCGAACAGTGGCCTTGTGGCTGCACACCAGTGCTGTATAAGAGTGAGCGCCCGGAAATGTGTTGCTACTTCGGACACCACTCACCCGCACTGTGATAAGTGAAACGTGTAGATTTTGACATAGTTCTATCCACGATAGCACTATTCGCTGGCCGATGTAATCCTCGTCATCAATAGAAGCTCTAGACTCAGAAGAACAAGGCCACGACATAACAGCGGTTGCCTTCTAAAATAAAGCTACCTATCGATACGATGTTGCTATTTTGTTGGACAAAACATAGCATAAAATTAAATGCCATTGTAAGCTCACTTTCAATTTATGATGAAACCAATGAGAAGAAACAAGTGCGTGGTGCTCCTGGTGTTCCTGCTATTGTGCAGCATTGCTCTGATTTTCTGGCAGATAATATGGAGCATGACACACCGGGACCTGCCAGTAAGTTCAAAAAGTTGTCTTCGTGTCACCTAGATCTAGGCCCTATTCATTGTCAGTGGAAATGGAAAAGACATTTTTGCCCTGGGTCAGTCTAAATATTCTTCAGATTCTAATGCAAATAAATTGAAAGGAAGCCAATGATGAAAGAAAGAAGGTCTTATGAGACATTTTATGAAGGCCGGCTCTATTTCTCCGAACGTTTGGGAAAATAAACTTGAGCTCTAAATTTCTCCGAATGGTTTCAGTTCTCGAGATTTGTTGATGATAATCGAATGGAGTGGCCTGTGTGTTTGTGTGTGTGTGTGTGAGTGTGCGTGTGTGAGTGTGCATGTGTGTGTGTGTGTCTGTGTGTGTGTAAGGTGTGAACGGGTTTGGGGGGGGGGGCGTGGAGGGATTTTTTTTTACATAAGGATTTTAGTTTTTGCTGGTTGACTAAATGCAAAATAGGTTACTGCCAAGGTCGAGCTGTCTTGTTTTCTCGCTGTAGCCTTTGAAGGTATTTTCAAATGAAGTATAGCCAAAGATAGTACAAGACAAGATGGGCCACTCAGCCTAAAAAGTGTCCGCAGGAAGTATGCTCTAAAGTTGCTTCAGATGGCGCTGCAGTCTGTTTTGAAGCTCTCTTTCGTTTTTCCAGAAGAAGAATAGGAATAGCACCTCCTTGCGTGCGCAGATCGACTGCTGTTCATCAGCAGTTCGGGTACGTTCAGTGCGGAGTTTTAGGTTTTTTTAAATTTTAATGTCCTCTCGCCCTTCATTCTAAAGTCAAATTAAACGAAGAAAACCATCTCCTTTTCCTCCGGAAGAGGTTTTTGTCAGCGTAACCATTTTAAAAAGCGTTCTTCCGAAATTTATCCCAAAACTTGCTAGTTTCACTTTGATTTTTTAAAACTCAAGTAGGGTAACTCTGTTCGCAAAGAGTGCGCTTTTGTGAAGAGGGCGCCACCAAATTTTGAGGACTCTTTTTTAATTGGCTCAAAGAGAGAAGTGACCCATCTTGTCTTGTACTATCTTTGGTATAGCCCAGGAATGTTGCCCCAACCACAACTAGTATCTGAATATTCAGACATTTAAAAATCTCTCGCTCTAGAAATTGAATTTGATGCAAAAAATGCTTCTTCCCAGTCCTTGCAGAATGGCAGAATGAAAGGATGGTGCCTAAATCTCGCAAATAACCCAAACAATCTCGAGATCGGAAACCGTTCGGAGAAATAGAGTTCAGGTTTATTTTCCAGAACGTTCGGAGAAATAGTCACTTCGTTTTATAAATTATATAAAAGTGTAGGCCTACATTTCCATTTTCATGCTCAGAAATAATTGTTATAATCTACCTTCACGCAGCCAATGTAATTTTTTTGGGGGGTGAGAGAGTAAACAAAGACTAGATCTAGATCTAGATCTAGTAGTGTCTGCCTTCTAGAAGAATTGAATAGAATTGAGAAGGGTTAGGTTGATAATTCAAAAAACACCATGTACATTCTGTGTGTGTGTGGCGGGGGGGGGGGGGGGGGAAGCATGTGGTTAGGGGTTGGTCTAATACCCCGAAGTCAGTGCACACCGCTAACCGAATTTCATTGGACTGAGTCAGGGCCTGCCAGATATTTCTTCATGGATGGGGAAAAGCTGCTATATAATATCATATGTGAAGGACGTAATATTTTAGAGGTATCCTGTGAAAGTTCGGCACATTTAATAAATTTTGCAGTCACACAGCCAGCAGTACAACCCATTTGGTCACCCAGCCAGGAGAGTGACTGCAATGGACTTCACGGGAGACTACGCCAGGTGACCGGAACGGATAATTTTCACTTTCGCATTATTGTGCCAAGTGACCAAGTGTTAAGATCCCTTGTCATGAATTCTAAAAATGAAAAGAGAATAAGGTCCCTTAACCATCGGGCGGCAGTCTGGGCAAAATTCAAAATTTGAGTCCTTCCCAAAAAAATGAAGCCTTTCTTTCAACATTGCAGAAAGTTATGAGACCAGCACTAGGTTAATTTTGATTGATGCTTTTGTTTTCTTCAGTCATCCTTTGATGTGTCACTCCTCCAACACCTGTCCTATGTTGAATCTGCACCTGATACTGCAAAGCAAGATCTGTCTCGACGGTATGGTTATAATATTGTCAACAGCCGCGCAGTCAAGCCGAATAGAAGTCTTCCTGACCTAAGACATGCAAGGTAGTGTTTCCCTAACTACTTCCTACTACTGTAAACTTTGCTATAGCTGTTGAGGTCACAAAAAATGTGTTCTTCCCAATTTTTTCTCTTATGTTACCATGGATACCCATGTCATAAATGTATAGATATAATGTCCCATTTCTTTGTGATGCGATGGGTCTTCACAAAGATACACTATATATATTGTTGAAAAATATTCAGCTGGAATCATGATTAGATGTATCTTAATAGGCTCTGTTTGTGCTTATTGTCACTGAGGAAAAGATGTTTTGGAAATAGAACTATTGGCATATTTCTATGCATTCGAATAACAGCGACTTATGTAATGGGTACTCGAATATTTGAGAAAAACAAAGCTTTTTTTTTACGTTATGTCATAGCAGTTTGGTTAAAAAAAAATTTTTTTAAAGCTTTTTTATGGAGTTTGATAGAGTCTGTCATATTGATTGTTGAAATGAATGAATATTTTTCATAACCGAAAATAGAAATAAGGCCTACCTTGTTGGTATCAAATTCTTGTAGTATGGTTACTTGTCATATGTACGTTGTATTTTTTCGCTTCTGAGAGAGAGAGAGCTTTTTGAAGAAATATAATAATTTTTACTGCTCAAATAAAAAGATAACGAATTATTTTAATCATCAATCACAATGGTACTCTTCTATCTTTATTGATAATGAAATGAAGTGTTCGATGAATATCTAAAGATTGAATTTTTGTGGTTTTTCAAAGGATGCATCATATATCCTTTGATTATTTCAGTTGTGGTGTTGTAACTTCATCCATAAAGCATGAGCTGCCTTCACCAAGTATTATTGTTACGTTCAGGGATGAAGACCGGTCTGTCCTTTTGAGGAACATAGTCAGGTATAGTATGCTGCGGTGGTTAAATTTTGTTTAGTTTTAGTAAATGTTTTATTGCACAGGAACCCAACAAGTGAAGATTAAAGGTATTACAAGAGAGTTACGAACATAAAAAAGGAGAGATATAAGGACAATAGATGTTTGATAATAAAAAAAGGAGTAAACCGCACCAGATCACCCACCAACCAGTCTCTTAAACTCTTTAGACCTTGCTTAGCTTTGTTTAGTTACCATTTTGAGTAATAATTTTTAAAAATTAAATTGTAACTCAGTTCTGTTCATAAACAGTTGAGGCAATTTTTTGTGAATATGTCGAATGTGGTATTGTCAGATGCATGAAGTCAGTTATGGAAAAAGAATTGTGATTAATATCATGGAGGATCTAAGATGTTGCTTTTTGATATGAAAGTCTAAACATTGATGAATGCCTTTGCTGTTTGCAGTATTCTGACAAAGTCAAGCCCTGTCACCCTTCGTGAGATAATTTTGGTTGATGATGGTTCCAGAAACGGTAAGTGTCTTTTATTTGGTAGGCTTTAGTTTCATATTTACACAAATGCAGCTTTCATGGGCAGTCCTGTGAAAAAATGTTCTTGTTCTGTGATTTTCAAAGAATGCTAAAATAGTACTTTACTTTGGAAATGCTACATTTTGATCAGTTGAAAACTGAATAAAAAACAATGGTATGATGTAAAAGTATGTTGAATATTTTAGGCAGTATATTTGTCCGTGGTTGGTTCAGGTTTGCTGTTTCCTTTTCCCATTATATTTTCCCATCTCAACCAAAGCTCTATTTATTGTCATTCATTTCTATTTGGATGAGCATTCATATGTACAGACAATGAAACCTACTGATATATGTACTCTCTTATATTGTCAAATAGCTATACTGCTAAATACGGACTGACAGCCATAGAGGCAAAACAAGTGAACTGATGATTAGGAACTTCCTACACAGAGGTGGTTGAGAATTTTAAAAGAAATTAATAGAGTGCTTCAGTACACACAATACAGTTGAAATTGCCTGAGACAGCCACCCGTTGTCAAGGAGAAAAGGGGCCACTTTAGGCAGAATTGATCAAAATTAAGAAAAAAATCAATTACAGAGCAAAACCGAGCGCACTGACTGATTGAACTTAATTTTGTGTTTTTCACAGCTGAAGATGGGCACCTACTCTCTCAGCTGCCTGGTGTTCAAGTTATTAGGAATGAACAACCCACAGGTTTGTGCCTTAAACCTGTAGCTTGAAAGTTTGTTAAAAGTCAGTCCTGGTGAATTTGCCTTAAGAGGTAGATGTATATTTGATGTGTTCATTTATGTATTTTTCCATTGAAGGTATATCAAGCACAGGAAGCATGATTTTTAGTTCATTCTGGGTCTCCCTCCATCTCCTTTTCCAATACAAAAAGAAATACTTTGCATTTGAAGACTGAAGAATTCTTTTGTCTGATGGAATAATTTTTGTGTGAATAAGGTGTGTATATATGGATATGGATTTGCTCAATTTTTTAAGTTATTAAGAATAACAGCGTTCACAAGTGCATAGTCCTACATTGACTGAAGATTATTTTCCTTGTGACAACTTTTTTAATAGGTCCCGATCCACTCTTCATTGCTGTGAATAGTTGAAGGTGTTCTTGTAAGCGGGCTGCTCCTTCGACATCTGTGTCAGTTTTACCATCGTCGCGATTAGCTGCATAGAAAATGTGAAATAATGCGGATTTAATGCCCCTATCAAAAATAACCTTAGAGGTGAAGGTTTATCTCCGAAAGGGGTAAAACAAATAGGACATTTGAGTTAAATGCCTTTCGAACCCCCAAATCTGCAGTCTCACAATTACGGGTGTGATAGCCTAAATAGACAACTGGCACCATCATCTTCTTAGTGAAATGTGACCTTATTCAACAAATGAACTGTATAACTATAATGTCATGGATAAACAACCTGAATCTAATAAAAGTAAAGTAATATGGTGCTAGTGGTCTGGTGATTAGTATAATAATATTTAATATTATTGTCATCATCCTCATTATTATTATTATTGTTGTTATTATTATTATTATTATTATTACTTACGAGCGGTGCCAAGTAAACTATGGTAAGTCATATTTTTCAAATTTTTACGGGAGAGACAAAAAGCAGATTTGAAAAAAGCGGTTTGGGTGGATAAACTTCATTTTCATAAGGGAGCCTACAAGTGCATGACATTAGGCTCCCTTTTGAAAATGAAGTTTATCCACCAAAAACGCTTCAAGAAAATCCGTTTTTTGTCTCTCCTGTAAAAATTTGAAAAATATGACTTAATATAGTTTACTTGGCGGCCCTCGTATCATTATTATTTATTATTATTATTATAATAAAAGTGAGTACTATGTCCACCTCAAGGTTGCCCTGATTTGTTCCTCAGGACGGGGAGCTGCCAGGGTCAAGGGCATGCAAGCAGCATCAGGGGACGTCATTGTCTTTGTCGATAGCTTGGCTGAGGTCAACGTCAATTGGTTGTCTCCCCTTTTGCTTCGCATCCTCCAGGTGATTCATAATTTATATCTTCCTGTTAATAATTTTTTTCTTGGATGTTTCAATGATCTACTGGACTAACAGATCATTTCGAAGCCAAATCTCTTGAACTTGTGGTAGATTTGGTATACTGGACCTCATAATTTTATAGGCTTGAGACCCCCATCTGACCCTGTATTGCTACCGAACCGGATTGAAGGTTTAAAGAGTCTATCAGAATATCTTATTCAACCCCTTTCAATGATGGTTGGCGGGTGTTCTGGTGTGGTTTGCTCCGTCTTTCCTATCAAACACCTATCGTCCTTATTCCCCCTCCTTTTTTGTATTTGTTACTTCTTGTAACACTTGTAACCAATCTTCGACTCTTATATGACTTTAATGTGTTACAAGTGTCGTAAAACTCTCACTAAAACTTAAAACTCAACACCTTTTATCTCCAGGATATCGCAATAACTGTTGTCTCAATAGTGTCTTCCCTTAAAGAAAAAGAGTAAGAAAGAAAAGGGATGGCATGTCAAACTTAATGTTAGACTCTTACATCTAATTTGTGTCATGTTTATGAAGGTTTTTTTGGTGTTTTTTTTTAGGTTTTTAAGATTCCTCAGTATGCTCTATTTTTTTCAGAGGTGAATGTAGAAATTTATTTCAAAGGAGTGACCAATGAAGCTTGAGTTTCTTCACAATGTCATTGTGGGTGGTTTTCTCCTTCTTTCCCATCGTTCTTATCTCTCCTCCTTCTTTTTTTGTGAATGATACTCTATAGTAACACCTCTAAATGTGACTGTCTTGTTTTTCAAATACCATAAAACTTTTCTTAAGACAGTGTCATTGTAAGGTAATTATGTCTGCTTTTATTCTGACCTCCAGACCTCAGTGCCCTGTTTTGGTAAATTCATGAAGTTTTGATTTTCTTTGACTCTCACACAGATTATATAATCTCTTTTTATGTTCTATTTACAGAGTCCAAAGAGTCTTGTGTCCCCCATCTTGGATTCCATCGATCATGTGACTTTTGGTTACAGGTCTTTGCCTGGAATTTTTAGGGGAGGTATTTGTGCTTTTTAGTAATTTCTACCCACCTTGTCTTATAAATATTTTATGATACAATGGTGTTCACTTAACAGCAATCCAAATAAGAGTAACCTCTACCTAACAGCAGTCTAAACAGGTGTAATGGAATTTTCATATAAATATATAAATAACCCCCTTTAAGAGTAATCTTTTCCTCTTTCTGGAAACTTTGTTGCTATAAATTGTCTGACACAAAATGTTTTTGGCGTTTAAAAAGCAACGTGAACACAGAGCCTGTAATTATAGTGTGCATGTATCCCCTTCCTCTGTAGTTGATCTCCTCATGACACCTGCGTGGGCTTAAAATACACTACGCTGAGTACAGGAGCTCAGTTCACACATTCTTGTCAAGAGCCACCTTCCTTCAAGAGTGTCAGAGTCTCCTGGCTGAGGAGGGAAAAGTCTCAGCCAGTCCCCTGTGATTGAGCATCAGCTGTCTTAAAAGGAAAAGATCTGGTCAAACCTTGGCTACTTATGCTGCCAATGTTATCACATTCCAGCATAACAAAATCACCACATCTTGTAAATTGGATTTTAGGGTGCAGGTTACAGGCACCTACCCCACTCTTTGAACTTCAATTTAGCAGCAGGTTCCACCTAAGAGCGTCACTTTATTGGTCATTAAATCAAAACAAGCGAACCTATTTTGATAAATTTTCATCTAATGAACGAATTCCTGGTAAAAGAGACCTGTTTTCAGCAATTGCCGAAAAGTAATTAGGTTGAATTCGTCGGAAAGGAATATGCCTGAGCTGCTGCCAGCGGTTCTGACTGTTAGCCTCTGGGAGCGGCTTGCCAGAGATGACGAGTTAAAAATAGTGCTGTAAAGATTAATTGTTTCCAGTGATGGTGTAGACAATCATCTTTGTAAGTACATTATTGAAGTAGAATTCCATTACCTATTACTTTCACTATTTTCAGGTTTTGATTGGACTCTGGAGCATCGCTGGGAGGACGTTCCATTAGCTTTTCACACCAATGAAGATGTCACTGCTCCTATCAGGTAAGGCCCTGGGTCCTTTTTCCTTTCTTTCATCAGTAAGTTTTTACAAGTACAACTTTTGAAAATGTTCTATTTGTTGTACCCTTAGTGTAGAGACAAGCCTGGGTATTTTGTGAATAACAAAACAGGTGTTGTAGAACTAATTACTGACTTTTATTGTACTTGCAAATGGATCTTTATGGATGTGGAAAGCTTGAGGACACTTCTTCTTTTCTTTCACTTTGCTTTTTCTTTCTGTCTGTCTTTTTTGTCTCTGTAAATAGCCTTTAAACTTAAAATTTAACTTCAAATGTGTCATGACACGTTGGAATCAGGCACTCCTCAATTTTTAGGTATATAGAGTTAATGGTATTATCTTAAAGTTTGTTCATTTGTCTTGCTTTTGTTAAAAGAAACCCCCCATCAGTCTTAAATTAAAGGAGTTGAAATATTTGCAATTGAAGGAGGTGGGAGTCACCTGATGTCAGGTAAAATTAGTGAGAAAATGGTCGCCAAAGTTTGGTGACTTTCAGTGCTTGAGTGTCCTTGGACACAGAAAATTTTCAATTTTTGTGCCTTTGATTAAAGTTTTTCATTAAAGTCCACACAGAAATATATCTTTTTAAATGAACATAAAAGGTGTTGAAGCCAAAAAATGAAATTTTTAAAAAAGTCACCGTACAGATAGCAACATGCCAGTTTCTTTGACTGCATTATTTTGACAAGCACCTTGTTACACCATGATGCCTCAAAATGAAGGGTTTCATAATAGGGATATAGAAGTAAAAGAGTAAGTCTTCTGTATTTTAGGAAAAAACCGAAACGTTTTCTCTGATTTTTGACATTTATTGTTATAACTGGACTCCGACTAAGCTGAATGGAAAGGCGAGTAGAGCAATCATTACTTTTAACATGCATTATCTGCTTCTTTTTTCCCCTTTTGGTGAAATATTTCCGACAATATTTTTGTGATCTTTTTGTCTTGTTCAGGTCTCCGACATTGTGTGGAAGTGTCTTGGCTGTCAGGAAGGACTTTTTCAGCTGGTTAGGGAAATATGACCTCAACCCTATGTCCAAAGACATTGAAGATTTAGGTACGAAAGACATTTTATTTCACGTCTCTTCTTTTTCCGTAGGACCACTTATATTGTGATATTCTTTCTTTTGTTGACATGATACACTTATTTTAAAAAATTGATGCATCTTTATGGTTAAGTTCTACTTTTTTGGTATACATACAGTTAAACGGGGATAATATTATTCTGTGTCTGTACGGTAATCATCTTGCAGTGCAAACATTTTGGTTTTGAGAGTGAATTATAGTTTGTTAAGTGTGCAGAAAGCTAGCAAAACCAGAACAGTGGACAAGTACGAACACAGCCTTGTCTAACCAAATTAATAGTCTGTAGAATTGTCCCGTTGATATGCTACTTTTGTGTGCATTTATAAGCATTCATCTTTTGGGGGGGGGGGGGGTGGACTCTGGTGCTGTGATTTTCCTAAGTTTGTGAAAAGAAATTGATTTCGCTTTGAAAACCTTTTTTGAAGCTTTTGCTCTGACCAGTAGTTTCGGTCTCATGAAATCTTTTTTAGTTTCTCACAGTGAGTTGTCTTTGATGTAGATCTATATTTAGTTGTTTTGTGTAGATTTATGTTACTGTTTTCACTTCTGTGAGTTACAATTCCTTGTGAGGTTGTTTGCTACTTTCACTTCTCTGAGCTGAGAATCTTTGTAATGATGTTTGCTTCTTTCACTTGACAGAATTGACGATGCGTGCGTGGATGTGTGGAGGCCAAGTGGAGATAATTCCTTGCAGTCGGGTCGGTCTCATCCAAGCACATGGGAGAGAACTGGGTTCCCGCCTTTATATCTTCAACAATTACCTCCGGTAAGCTTGATTACCGTACACTAGATTTTTTTCTCGTATTAAACACCCCCCCCCCCAAAAAAAAAAACGGTTGTTGCTTATTCATTTTTTTTCAAACGTTTTGGATTTGTGATTTGAGTCACCCAGTGTTATTAATGTTGTTGGATGTACTCCTAGATGTATACATGTACTTGTGTACAACCATCTCATTTTTGAGTAACTCCAATATGCTGTACAGTACACTGCAGAAATGAATGGAGGGGAAAAGAAGTAGGTAGATACAGGATGAATGAGAAGCAAATAGACAGATAGTTAAAGACAGAATGTTGTAGATCCGTGTAGGCATAGATCTCTTTTATTTAGGTTTCACTAATATTTTAAAATAATGCCTTCCTTTTTACTGGGCCTATAATTTTTTAAAGTATGTGATTAGTTTGATATTTCTCTTGACAGAGGTGCTCGGAGATTGGCAGAAGTGTGGCTGGAAGAATTCAAGAGGTTCTTTTACGCTGTGAGGCCTTCTGCGAGAATGCAGCCACTATCAGAGTGAGTTATTTCAGGTCGGCGCCAATGCGGTGAAAAGAAGGCTGGAAAATGAAGTTGGCAACAAAGAATCTAATGAAATGATCATATTGAAGAAGGATGAGACTTTTTGACACAAAATTTAAGAATAAAATTTTGTAGAATTAATTTAGGTTTCCTTTTGTTCTACTTAACGGTGGAAGAAAAGGCTTTATAATTTGAATTTGTCGTTGCAGGTGTGAGTCACCATTTATTGTCTGGGTCCCAGTATAGCCAAAAGCCTCCAAATATAGCTACATGGCATAACAAAACTATACTACAGGATGACACTCACTCTTAAAAAGAGAGTTAAACATGGCAAAAATTACTTCCCTTTGTGCAGAACTTATTTGTGTTGAAACAGGTGTACAACTGTACCCCAGTCAATGCAGATTCTGTGCAGGTGAAGGGTCACCAGATGGTATTTCTGACTTTAGGCAGTTTTTGGTGTTGCTCAACTTAACTCATTCGCTACGCCGAGCCGTGGGGGGGAGGGGGGGGCACGGCTAAAGTGCCGTCAGTATGCTAAGCCGCCCCCGGCGGCTCGAGAACCAATCTTCAATTTTAGCTTAGATTCTATTCCAATCCACATATCCATGTTAAAATAAAGGTCATAATATAATGTTGACTTCCGGGTCAAGCATTTCAACTGAAAACGGGAAGTTTAGATTCAGTTTTGAAACGCGATTTTGTAGTTTATTCGACTTTGTTTTATCGCGATGCCAAAATTATAGCCCGGACACCAGTCTTAGTTATTTTACACAACAAAGTCTATCATTATTTTGCCCACTAAAGAAGTGTAGGACTCTTTTTTATAATATTGATACGATTAGACTCATATTGCCAATGCACTGTTATTGAGAAATCTATATTTTTGAGTGCCAGATCTAGGTCTAGATCTAAATTGTCAAAATACTTTTTTCTCCCCAAAATCACTACTTTTTGATGAAATTACACAAAAAGTACCACTCAAGACATGTATAGGTTTATTCCAAATGCAATTCTGAATAGTTCCATATAAGATACGAGTGGGTTTTTTCTGTTTTAGATCGTTTTTCAAGATTATAAAAAACTTTTTTTTTTTTCAATATCGGATGTTATGATCCAAATGTACAAATATTATGGAATGTATGTAAATAACTGCAAACTTTTCAATATTTTCCAGTTCTATATTCATTTATGGTTATTTTGATGTATCATTTGACTAGGTGCAAACATATTTTTTGAGTTTCACCAAAGATTATTAATTTTTTATTTTCAAATTTGATCCGCATCCAATAAAAATTGTATTGCATAATCGCCTCTTACCGGAACCAAAGTTGAAAAATACATAAATAAACATTACAGATGTATTATACAAACCATACTGAAAATATTGGTATATAACACGTTGATATTTATTTGAATTTGTGGCCCCAAAGACCTGTGAACTGCGCACTAGTCATCATCTCATTCGCCCTCCCGAAAAAAAATCGTCCACAAGCTGAAAATAATACGTTGCGAATGAGTTAAGAAGCTACGCAAAAAAAAAAAAAAAGGTAGGAACTCTTTAGGAGTGAAGTACATGCATTGGCAAGAAAACAAGATGGCTTGTCTATGATGGATACTTTAAGTAAGTGACCTTTTCTTACAGGGTCCTGCGGGCTGTACTTTGCCCATGCTGGTATAGTGGAAACTTTTATTTTAAAAAATTAATTGTCATTAAAGAAGTGGATGCAGCATTTGTGCTTTTTAAAGAATTACTTTGCAACATAAATTGCTATGGTCACCGTACATTATTAACGCTTCACCTGTATTGTTTTTCTCAGTGTCAGCAGCCAGCGAAAACTCAAGGGAAAATTGAAGTGTAAAAATTTCAAGTGGTTCCTTACATCAGTGTACCCGCAGCTACAGTAAGCTATTATGTTGTGCTTTTATTCCTTTTTTTTGTTGTTGTTGTTTAAAAAAAACACCCCCCCCCTCCCCCAACTTTATTTTCAATCTCCAGAGGGGGATTTGTTTCCCAACAACGAGCATTATTCTTGTTTTTGTACCATCTGTCTGTTGTTTCACTACGCTGTTTTGTGACTAATCAGGTAACCTTATGGGTACTTTCTACTTATCCTTCTCCCCTCCCCCCCTCCTTTAATTTTCATCTGACATCTCATTTTTGCCTGATCTTCGTTGTATTGGTTTGTGTGGTGCTTTTCTCCGGGGAAATTTCTTTTGATTGTAGACTGGCCATTTTTGTAGATTCAGTTTGTGTTTTTGCAGTGAAATTGACATTCCAATTTACTTCAGAGATTTGTTATGATTTTAGGTATTCTTTTCATTTCTATACTTAGATGGATCCCGGCCTGAATAGGAAAAAACAGTATCTTTTTGGGTGTTGGTACTTGACTGGAAAACGACTTAACTTCCAGCATGGCTGGGCAGTCCCTTTATGTGATTGGGAAAATGATAATTCTCACCTGTATAATGTTAATGCAGTTTGGTTTATTTGCAATCACACAGAGCTCTGTGGTATGCTTTGCCATATCATACACACACACATGCACACACACATGCACACACACACGCGCGTGTGCACATACACACACACACACACACACACACACAACAAAACTCTCCCCGGCCCCAAGTCTGATTCTTTTTCTCCAGACCACTGATAACCGACGAGGTTGCTTACGGCAGTCTGAAGCAGGGAGAGAACTGTGTCGACCTTGACCCTGGTCAGCTCCCTCTGGTGGCCAAGCTGAGGCGGTGTGAACCCGGCAAGGACTCACAGGTAGCGGCCAGTTTGTGCTTGTCTGTTGCTGATAATAATAATATTAATAATAATAATAATAATAATAATAATAATAATAGTAATAATTTTCATAATATTCATAAACGTAATGGTAATGATAATTATGATAATAATAATAATAATAAATTTCATAATATTCATAAACATAATAGTAATGATAATTATGATAATATTAATAATAGTAATAATAATAATAATAATAATAATAATAATAATAATATTGACAACAATAATAATTATAATAATAATGATGATGATGGTATAATGTTAATAATAGTAATTATATATAATGATAATCATAATACTCATGATAATATAATCACAAACAGCTTTTGTATGGCGCATATCCCAGCTCAACAGCAAACTCTATGCTCTTTGTAACGTGATGATGTCTGAGGTCATGTTATGATGTCTCTCTCCCCGGTGGATTTTGGCTTTCCTCTCTTTCTCCTCCCCTGGGAGTCCCATTTTAGGCTTTGTCTTGTCTCGTTGTGGTCTGACTTTCTGAGTGTGTGTGTCCAATCCATAACCACCTAGGAAGAGGTGTTTGTGTAAAAAACGTTTTCTGAATTGCTTGCATCGTTCGTGCAGCATTTCTGTGTGCATAAGTAATTTTCCTACAGCGAAAGTGGGTGGCTGGCGGGTGCTCTGGTGTGGTTTGCTCCTTCTTTCCTATCAAACATCTATCATCCTGATCTCTCCTCCTTTTTTGTGTTTGTTACTCTCTTGTAACACCTCTAATCTTCGGCATTTATATGATCTTATTGTGTTGCAAGTGCCGTAAAACTCTTACAAAAACTTTAAAAAACTACAGCGAAACAATGGCATATTGTTTTATTTATCGCAGGAGTGGTCGTGGCGTAAGCGTGGGGTCATCGTGTCCAGTGGGATGTGCCTCACCTCGGACATGCACAGCATGCAGGGGTTTGTGCAGGTGCAGTTTTGCAAGGATGCTGAGAACCAGGTAATGTTGCGTTTTTCTCCGTGGGTATACCACAAACGATGAATATATATATATATATCTACATGTAGATGGCGCCGGCCACAAATGGGCCAACTCTGAACGCAATTTTCTGAAACCTGATTTTTTTTAGGTTGATGCAATGCAGGATCGAAATACCGTACTTCATCTCAATAAATGGTGTCAAAATTCAGCAAATGGAAATGCATGAAACGCTTAGGTGAAATTTATATAGAAGTTGTCTTTGATAGTTTAATTAGGCAGTTTTTAGCCTCTTTTGTACGAATCTTCTCGGGAGATAGCCCATCAGAGCCCGACAGCATGGATGTGTAGTGTTGGTCCATTTTTTGCTGAAATATCTCTCCATATTTAATAGTAATAAAAAAAAAGAATAATATTGATAATAATAATAATAAAGATCGCTTCTATCGCGCCCACTTCCTGGTTGCTCTCGGCACTTCTCAGTGAATTAAGACAATAACATTTAAATCAGCTTTTAATTTGGTACATACTGGCTCATTCAATATACAACAATTCTTTGTAATACCTCTAATCTTTGGCACGCATATGACCTAATTGTGTTGCAAGTTCTTTGAGACGATTAATAAAATGTATTAGTTGTATTTTGAGCATTCGCAAAGTTGAAATGCACTACATATAGATGCTGACTAAAAGTAAACTCCCAACACTCCTCATCCAGACCTGTTTCCAGGACACTTTGGCTGTCTCTTTGGGATAGAGTAGGCATTCTTGATAGGGTCCACCCCTCACACATCTCAGATCTGGGGAGTAGAACTAAAAAATATGTTCAGAGACTAGCATACTTCAGAGACTAGCATACTGATGGGGAATTTACACATTTAAGAGACACTAGGTACAGCTGAAGTGAAAATTTTTGTTTGGGCTCTAAATTGAGTTTACTGGGATTCCCAATAACCAGTATGGGTCTAGAAACAAACACACTTTCCGTATATGATTTCACTGTCAATTTTTCAAATTGTTTTAGATGCAAAGGGTTCGGCAGACCAAAATTCGCTTGAATTCTATTTTTTAAAGAATGAAATGGTTTAGGTTTAACGCCCCTATCAACACTATTAGGTTATTTAAGAGGCGGGGCCTCCAAGTTTAACGTCCGTCTCCAAAAGGACCGAGCCAAGTGGGAAATTCGTGTAAAGTGCTGATGCTCGAACCCCCGAACCCGCAATCTCATGATTATTATGAGTCCGCCTGCCTAACCACTAAGCCACCGACACCACCCAAATTCTATGCAGGGATTCTGAAAAAGATTGAATGGATACAGCCTTGATATTTTCACACAGTGTTTCTGTATATTCAACCTGCAACTTTGTAAAGATTTACTTTCCTAAGTCTCATACTTTTCTAGTAACTGCCCTTTTAGTGTCATATACGATACTCTGACTAAAAATTAATCACAAATCAGGGTGATACTGTCAATCTTTTTTACACTGTCAGAAAACTTATTACAATATCACAATAATCTTTTAGTGCGTTGCAAACATATTATCTAGAAACAGTCAAGCAAAGTGGGATTGAGCTGTGACATGTACTTTTAGACATATCTCTGCATAGGTGACCCACCCCCCTAAGAAAATCATAGTTTTGAGAAAACTGAAAAGAAAATTGAGTTCATACTGGTCTATTTCAACACAATGTTAAAAAACATGGCGGCATATGTGAGCACTTTATAGATGTTTTAGACACTTTGAAATATTTCAAATCAATAAAGCAGATGTTGCTCTACTAAAATAGTCCAAATTCGAAAAACCGGTTTTGGATACCAAAATCAACTTTTTCTGGCTTTTGGCTACTGCTGTGGTGTACCTTAACCTTTTCACAGTTGTGTATACATGTATCCTCTCTTGTGATCTTTTTTTTGCTTGTTTATAGAGGACGTTCTAGAAGATGTATTTGCCGCTTGTGCAGTTGCTCACTCTTATTAAAGAGAAATGTATTTTATCTTTATTTCAATCTCTCTTGAATGGACATTTTGTCTTGTCAGTACAAATGTAAGTGGAAACACCTCCGCACTGAAAGGTTTAATTAATTGATGTGAAAAGTTCTCTTGTGAAATGTCAGCACCTAGCAGGATACATTTCACCAACTTCACTCACCATATTTTCTGACTTTTGTCTCTCAGATCTGGTACAGACATAATGAGAAGATCGTTCACCAGGACACGAACCTGTGTTTGGACGGTATCCATGGTAACAAGGGACTCCTCATCACCGAGTGCATCAAACAACAGGCCAGCCAGGCTTGGGAGATTTCGCGGGAGGAGCCCGCCAGAAATGCTGAGAACGATTACCTGGAGCCTGGTGTTGTGCTGCTCTGAGAGGGAGATCCCACTTTGAGAGGAGGGAGATCCCAGTTTGAGAGGAATATCCCACTTTGAGAGGAGGGAGATCCCACTTTGAGAGGAGGCAGATCCCACTTTGAGAGGAGGGAGATCCCACTTTGAGAGGAGGGAGATCCCACCTTGAGAGGATGGAGATCCCAGTTTGAGAGGAAGATTCCACTTTTGAGAGGAAGATCCCACTTTGAGAGGAGGGAGATCGCAGTTTGAGAGGAGGGAGATCCCAGTTTGAGAGGAGGGAGATCCCAGTTTGAGAGGAGGGAGATCCCACTTTGAGAGGGAGCTGCTGTCTTCTCTGGCCAGACTCCTCGTTTGTTGTTTGCTGTGCCTTAAAAGTTCATTATTGTCTGTATTGATTTTGTAATTAGCCACGGTTTTGCCAAAAGAATGAAGTTGTAGACATTTCTTGACTTTATTTTGGTGTGGAAAAGAATCTCGAGTCCTTATCTACGTAATGTAGATTGTATTTTTTATAATAAAGATTTGGAATCCTGGATGCTTTTTATATCACGTTATTATCTCTGTTGCTTTTGTCAGGGTTGCTTTAACCCTTTTGGTACGACCCATTTTGTACTCCCTGATATTTTTGGGAAAATGTTGCCATTCCTGACATACCAGCTAGACCTATGTCAGTTTGGCATTTGAAAAAGTTTAAAGAATGATATATTTTTTTTTAAATCCTGTAATTTTTTTTCTTATGAGTGAAAGTTTCTAGATCTAGTTCTTTTTTTTTCATATATAGAGAGATATGTGTTACTAGGCCGTGAAATCAGGCGCTTGTCAATTTTTTAGGAGAGTTATTAATATCATCTTAAAACTTGTTAATTAGTCTTTAATTTAGCGAAAAATACCAATCTATCTTGATTAGAAGTTGAAATATTTGCAATAGAAGGAGGTAGTGGTCTGCTAATATGAGAGGTAAAATTAGCAAGAAAATGGTGACTTCCAAAGCATGAGTGTCCTTGGAAACTGGAAATTCACTTTTTTGGTGCCTTTAATGAACGTTTTTCTGTAACGTCCACACAGAAATGTGTTTTGAAAAGGACATAAAAAGTGTTGAGGTAAAAAAAAAATTTCGAAAAAAAATTATCCAACACCCAGAAAAGTGCAAGTTTCTCTGATTTCACTGTTTTGACGAGCGCCTGATTTCGCCACGCTGCCTCACATATGATCTTTTATAAGAATAACTCAGATATTGAATACTGGGTCATTATATCATCTGTAGGGAAGATGATTGTTTTTGGTTCGTACTACATACAGCTATGAATCTTTAGGGGTGAGTTCATTTTTTAAATTGTGTAAGTCAAAATTTCCAGTTCTTGAAGCGTAATTATAGAATGTGACTGAAAAAAAAAGACATCTTATCTTTATATACACTTGATAAGATTAAAATAAGACAAATAGATCCAATGTTATGGGAGAAAAGTTAAGTTTTCTTGACAAAACAAACTGACATGTGGCATAGCTTTGTGATTATCCCCCTTGAATCATTGAGATTCATGAGTGGCATGGTCAAACAAGCTTGGTTTATAAGGATTTTCTTTTGGTATCTAACAAGGGCATAAAACAATTTCGAAAAAAAAACAAAAACAAGTGTACTTGGATAGATTAATAAAGAGGAAAATTTAGTGTAAAAGTATTAGTGGTGTACAAGTCAGTCAAAAGTCAATAAATCCCCCCTCCCCCCGCTGTTAGTGTAAGATTTACCTGGTCCCTGTTTGTGGCCACTAGAATGTATCAAATCATTGGCTGGCTCCTACCTCTACCTTCTGTGGTTTGAGGGACCATCATCTAAGCCCTTTGTGTTGATGAAAACAGGCTTTCAATTTGATCAACTAGTCCCCCCACATGTTATGGTGTTATGAATGCAAGAGCTTTAATGTTTATGGAACAAATCTCAACAGTTTACTCCACATTCGATTGCTGTTATCTTTCTCGATAACTTGGTGCTATAAAATGTGCAATGTGTAATCTCTAATGCTTTATATTTTCTGTATTCTGTTTTCCCCTGTTTCATATCATCCAATATTTTTCTGAAAAAGTTTACTCACAGATTTGAACTTAGAAATATCTTCTTACGTTTAAAAGAATTTATTTTTTTTAAAAGCTTGTAACAGTTTTTGTTTAATTTTCTGAACTGAAAATATTTCAGCCTATTTTGTCAGTTTGATAATGTAAGGGGTGCTGACAAAATGAGTTACTTCTTGCAATCCATGAATGGAGATATCGGCTGAAGATGGAAGGAGTGATCAAATTTACAGATTTTACTGATGCCATTTTCTTCAGGCTTTACGTGTCTTTTATAATTTCATACTAATAAATTGCACACATTCAACCTACATATCTATAATCCATAAGGCCAAAAGTAACTACTTTTGTCTGCACGACTCACAAAGAATTCTCCCTTTTCTACAGTTGTTTGCTTCAGATGTTGAAATTTTGTCCAGACTCTATATTAAACAGTGTTTTTTTTTAATTTTCCCTATTGAATGTCAAAGGCAGGTTTTCTTTTGGTGACAATGCTGCTTCATTTATTTTTGTCCAAACTGTACATCTAGGGCAGTGTACTTTGAGATCTTAATCATGATCCCTGTGGTTGTCTTATTTTAGAGATGTATTCGGTGTAGCTGAGAGCTAGGTTTTATAAGTTAATTTCTCCTGATGTGGGAAAGTAAAAAGATTTTATCCTTTGAGATAATTTTTAAGATGCATTGGTAATATTTTGAGCATTCACAGAGTAGAAATGTACTTTAAGTATGGTTGATAAGTACTAGGCGTATTATTTTTAGGTCATGCCTGAACGGACATTTTGCCCGACTTGACCAGTCGATGATTCTTTTCTTTGCTGTGGTCCCCCAGTCGATGATTCTTTTCTTTGCTGTGGTCCCCCAGTCGATGATTCTTTTCTTTGCTGTGGTCAAACAGCCATGCATTGATGAAGGTAATAAAAAGGCCAGCTTTGTAACTCATTTGTCATGGCATATTGTGCTGCATGGTGTCTACCGTATTCTCCTTTTTTAAAATATCAGGAACATATCGCCTGGTTAACAAAAAAATGAATTGGCCTTATTTTAAGCAACTACTGCTTATGTTGTAGGTGGACTACACAGCAAAGAAAAGAATCATCGACTGGTCAAGTCGGGCAAAGACACATTGCCTCTATCATCCGGCAAAGACACATTGCCTCTATCATCTGGCAAAGACACATTGCCTCTATCATCCAAACAAAAAGAACCAAGATCTAAAGCTAGACATCAACACTCTTAGGCTAGAGAATCAGTTCAAGTTTAGCACTTTGAAGTGTCAGAAAATTTCTGTAGTAAATGAAGCTTGGTCAGTCTAAGTTGAGGTATTGTGTTTAATAATGAGCATTTCCTTTCGGTTTTACTGTACTTCAATGAATTAAGAAATGCTTTGGAGTGTGAACTCATGTTATTGTCTTTACTTGATGGAGCGGAGAGCCATTAGTATAAATGTTGTGGCCTTCTTTGGTAGCAGGGTTGCAACATGCAATATCTCCTGATGAACGAGATATTTTTCAGGGTAAAGGAAAAAAAGTCATACAGTAATTTTTTTCAAACTTAATAATCATGTAAAGCAGGACCATTATCAACATAAAGAGTCTCACACCATCACAACTTACTTTTAAAAGATATATGTTTGTTAATGAGTAGACTGTGATGTTTGATCAGTACAGTTGACTTGTGAGTTGAAAAAAATTATTTACATCAAGTGAATTCATATATATATAAATATACCGAAGTTGTGAATGCGTCTTAAGATCTTTGTGTTGCTTTATGGCGTGTGCTGAAGAGATCATTGTTTAAATTTTGTGACTTTATTTTGTTTGGTGGATCGAAGGCCTGGACTTACCAGTACTCATTGTGTGTAGCAAAGCTCCCTCCTTGTATGTTTATTAACTTTGTGCTAGTCATCCTGGGGTACTTTGACACCCATTTGGTCTGTAGTTTTTTTTTGTATGCTTGAAAGAATGGCCGGCAGCTGACTGTAGTGATAAATGTTCATCTTGCTGAAGGTTGGGAAGCAGTCACTTTTTTGCTTCTTAAGGGATCAGGAATTCTTCTGTTTATTTGGACCAACAGAATCAGAGAGGGTTTTGAAGCAAAGTGATAATTTTAAAGTTTTATAAGTGATTCTTAAATTTTTAAAAATCAGTAAAGAAAATATGAACTGCATATTTAACGCCTTCATGCTGAGCGAGGTGTTTGGTTGGGTTGGATTGGTTCTTTGTCTTTTGTTAGGCAGCTCTGTCTGTCTCATTGCTGAGGTTTTTTAAAGAATTATACAGTCATTCTAAAAACTTGTGTCTTGTCATTTATTGTCTCGATACTCTCAGTCATTGTGCGTTGGATGTTTATTTTCATAGAACTGTGAGAGAGCCACAGACGATGTTGGGGGACTGAGGCTTGAATCTTTTGTACCTACTTTTCTTCTTATGACGGTTTTGCTGAATGGTATCCTTCTTCTAAGCACCATTTATTTTGCAGAAGATCTCGCTTTTTTAAGCTTTGTGCTTTGTTTTGTAAATTTGCATTATTTGTTTAGTTGTGATTTTCGTTGTCAGTCGCTGATTTATAAAAGCTCAGTACAAGATGTTGATCTATGGTAAGCCACAGTTTTCTGAGTGTTTTTCGTAACTCCAGTTTCTTTCCTCCGATTTTTGGAGACTGGCTCTCTAGAACAGCTTCTGTACTGAGGAGTAGTTTCGTCATTGTGTTTTGTTTTCCCCGAGGAAGTTATCCTGTGTGCTTTTGCTAGTCTTAAAATGTGCTTGACATTTGAAGAATAATCAATTTTAGACACATCAAATGGTGAAATCACTCGGTCTGTCCAAGATATCTATTGGACCAGTTGGTTCTTGTGTTTGTACCTTTTTTGTGTTCAGCTATTCATCATTGCCATGTACGGGAATCTCTAGCTTCATTCATGTCAACTGGTATTACATTGCATATTGACATAAAAGGAATGGATATGACTATTATATAGGGAAGGTATGAATATGACTATTATATATAGACATACAGGGAGTGGATGTGACAGCAAAGCAATAATTCTAAGGCTTCTATTCTAAGTTACTTGATGACTTCATGAGTTTCAGTTTTAAGGATTCAGGAAGCTTGTTTTAATCTTGGCTGTAAGTAGAAGCAATCCCCCCAACTCACACACTATTTCTGTAGTTCTGTTAATTGAAACAGTTTTGTTATTTCATAGTAATTTGATTTATGATGACCAAAAAGGCTGAAGGCTGAAATTCATCTCATGTTTTTAAATAAAGCTGTAAATTGCCTAGTTTTTTGTGGTGTTAATTATAGAATTCTGAGATTGTTGCCATGCAGTTTGGATAAGTTTCTGGAACAAGCCAAAAACAGTTTTGTTGTGGATTTTTGAATTTGTGCCATTTTAATACTTGATTCTTTTCTAGAGATATAATAATGTAGTAATGATAATTTCTAATTTGCCACTGACTGTCTGATTTGTTCTCTGATCATCACTTTGAGGTTTATAAAAACTCTCTCCTCCTTTGAACACGTTTTCCCCCCTCTGTGGTGGATATTGGAACAAGATCTAGGAGGAAATGAACAGCTTGATTGGCCAAAAGGAAGAATTATTTATAATTATGCAAGATTACTGGAAAAGTTCTTTTTTTT